ATGGCCTCTTAAGTAGCCCCCCACCCCTTCATTAGACCCATGGCCTCTTAAGTAGCCCCCCACCTCCTTCGGTAGATCCATGGCCTCTTATATAGCCCTTCCTCCAAAAAGTGGGTCCCTAGCATAGTTTTGACCACTTCCCTTAATTTCCGGTATCAGACTGAAGGTTCTCATTATTTGATTTTGTTACTTACCCACATTTAAAACCCAACTGCACCACAAAGTGATCAAAGGTAATTTTCATCGCCATGCCTTGTGGTATTGGAACTGAGTAATGACAGTCAACGTTATTCGGATAGTCGTTTGGATATCCGGGACTTGTTAATGTGTTGTTTACCACTGAACCACATTCTAAAAAATGCAGAATAAAAGTGCGTAGCATTTTTCTGGAAGTGGACAAATACTCATTATATACTGAACTATAAAAATGCTACACGCAAAGAGGAAGAGGAAGAAGAAGAAGAAGAAGGAGAAGAAGAAGAAGAAGAAGAAGNAAGAAGAAGAAGAAGAAGAAGACGACGACGACGAATACCACAGATGTTTTTGTAATTAGTTAGTCTCTTTTAGGAAGACATGCGTACTATAAAATTGACGGCTGCTGTTTAAACACTGCAAGGTCACTCTGCTTGCTACAGAATAACACCATTACTGATTATGTGGTCACCTTGCATGGCGAAGACGCCCTCTCTTGCCTTCCAGATTAAAACGAACAGAAATAAGAACATTTTCATTCCATCCATAATCACTCGAATGGGCCTCACCTGCAGATATGTATTTATATGTATAAACATATACAAAACATGATCGAAATCATCATTCTGAAAAGTACTTTACATGGCTAAGAATTTGGTTTTCAAGCTTTAGAAGAGAGCTTGAAGGGTCAGTCATAAGAACGTGTCGCAGCACGAAAAAAACATTTTACAAGATAGCTCCCCCCCCCACCCCCCCCCCCCCGGAAAAACTCTTTAACTACTAAAATAGGTATTTACGGTTACCGTAGCAAAGATCTACTTTTCATATAAAGAGCAATTATGTGCGCGAGCATCATTAGTGTTTTGGTTCATTTCCAAAGACATTCAGAGAATATTAATAATAATAATAATAATTACTGTTATAATAAAAAATCTTACTTTTAGTATCCACAGCATCAACTGTGACGTCATATTTGATATTTGATGTCAGTTATGTTTCAAATGTTTGACCTTTTTCTTCTAGTTACACGCGAAGGGTCCTTTGGGCGTGCCTATCACAATAGTCCAGCTTCGAGTTCGTCATGACATGATTAAAAGCACTGAGACGCATTTGCGCAGGGTTAGCCTCGACCTAAAGTAAAATATTCACAAATTACAGCGAGAAGATGACCTGTTTACAGCTCTGTGTATTGTTTAATTTTCAAATTTGTGGCACCTTCCCGCTGGTATTTGTGAATATCTTTTTTAGGTCGAGGCTAACCCTGTTCAAATGCGTTCTCAGCGCTTTTATTCAGCGATCATGGCAAACTCGAAATTAGACTATTGAATTTCTGTAAAGATTTCACTTCTTCATCAGGGCTTTAGGACTAGTTTAGCCCCAGCTTGACGTATCCGAACCTAGCTAGAACATTGTCGAACCCAATTCTAAAATCTGTTGTTTGAAAGCCTGCCAAGAGCGACCTTAGCACTTCTTTTTTTTTATTTCAAAAAAAAACAAAAAAAAAAATTGTTGAATTAGTAATGAACACAGCCCCGGGAACACAGCTAACATACATATAACAAACGTAACTAAGATAGGCCCGTCATCGTGGGTATTTCGTTCCCTGTTCTCTTTCTCACTATTTTACATAAAAGGCACAAATGTTCATTCTATAATTCACACCTGACAATTTAAACACACAGTTGAGTCTATTCAACACTTGCCAGTAAGAATTGTGACTGTATTGAAACGTTTAAAAGCATATGTAGACTCGATACATGCGAATTGCAAGAAATTAGCAGCACTGGTGGAGTTATAATCGACAGTTGTGCAGAACTGTGGAACCGAAGAAAATCTGGTAACCGAGAATCTAAAATACGCCCAACAAACTTTCTTTCGCAAACATAGTGTGAAAGTGTTATAGCAAATCAAACTTGCGTAACAAAAAGAAAAAAATGTATAATGTCGTCATCACTGTTCAAAGTTAGCGAAATGTCTAAACTCGGGAAGAAAAGATTTCACTGATTAAATTTGAAATAAAGCGACGCTAAGAAGTCCGCATTCGCGTTTTTAAGCTATACATGCATTTTGTTTTTTTGGTAAAACCCTATGACAAAAAAAAAAAAGAAGCGAAATTGGAATAAAATCGCCTCGGCGCAATCTGTGGACCTTTAGATCTGAGCTACAGCTGGAATCTTTCTGTGTTTTGCCCATTTTTTTTTCTCTCTCTCTCTTTTCTGACATAAACTCGCCTCACGTTGTACCTTCGGTGATATGAGAGAAGAATGATATGGTTTACGTACCCGATTGACTATTAGCACTTTTACTTTGTTCTTGCCCTGATTTCCTGTTCTCCGGTTCTTCGCAATGATTTTAAGCTATGTTTAAATATGCGCTTTCGCCTTTTATGAGAAAACAAATTTGGTGGTCCGAACAAGTAGCCAGCATGACTCCACTTTGTTTTGACTTTCTTCGCTCGATGAAAGAGAATACCGATTTTTTTTTCAGCACCTGTTTGCTGAACAGGATTCCGCCGCTCTCCCTTTTCGAAGGGTATTCCTAATTCAAAAGCATGGATGCTCATGGCAGAGTTGCTCGAAAATTAAGTGGAAAACTAAGGAGGAGATGGGGTATGGAAGAAGAAGAAGAAAATAAGACAGAAATAGAAACGTTTTATTGCTGGAAAACATCTAAAACGCGGTTTATTCAAATCGGCAAAACTGCAAATAATTAGGCACAGGTTTTGTAACAAGGCTAAGCTGTGTGAAGCACGATAGGCAGTCTTAATTGTGCAACACGAAACCTCCCTTCATGGAAAGTGAGGGCTGGGAACCTTGACTGGACCCCTCATAGTTCAGTATATTTCATATAGTCGGGGCGAGATGAGAACCAGTACCAAAAATTTGAAAGATCAGGTGGTGCAATTCACTGACAAAGCTTCTAAGTCTCATACATCTGTTTTACAGAAGTGTTTGTAAATCGGCACATTTCTATGTAAAATTTTGTAAATAACGGCGGGAAAATTCTGAATGAAAAACTTAATTATAACCCACAGCCATTTCTTCGTTTTCAAATAAGATTAGTCTCCCGCAACCTGTTACAGAATATTACAAAGATCGAATTTTGCTCAAAATTTTGGGACTTTAGATTCCGTAATTCTCGGTAGAGGTTTTGCGAATCGCACACAAGCATTGTTTCCAAGCAATCTGATGAAAACAAAGACTTACAAAAACAAAAACACAAAAACGAAATATCAATATGGTGGACTTCTGGATTATTTAAAGTTATCAGAGATTATTAGTATTACTACCTCTGGAATTAAGCAACCAGTGAACACCTTTTGTTCTGTAAAAAAACATTCCGCTTGCGATGGCATAATGGCAGGATATATATATATATATATATATATATATATATATATATATATATATATATATCAAATTGCTCGGTAAAAGTTCTTTTCGTTGCAAAATAAAACGCAATAAGAGGTCAATCAGTGCTTTATTGATCATTGCTGGAATATCATCAGTTTCTACATGTTATACCTGCAACAAACGGCTATTCAAGAAAACAAAGGTGTTTGCTCAAAGAACTGATTAAAACTACACAGCATGCATCAATCTGACCTAACCTAGTCCGCTTCACTGGCAAATAATTTCAGATTCGTATTACGTGCAGCTTTGCAACCCGGCTTAAACCAACAATAATATTATTTAAGAAAACCGCAGGAAAGCCCAAACTATTTTAAAAGGTTCTGTTGAAAAGTATTACCTATTGTCCGCCCTTCGCTTGTTGGTTTTGTCATGTTATAACAAAGGTACACGTTCTCAAGATCGAGATAACTACCTTGAAATAGATCATTCTTTTGACATATTCATAAATGTCTCAAAGTTGACAAACGAGGAACGTTTTTAAGGTACTGTTCGTGATTAGAATCCCATTTGGAGGCCGCAGCGGAAAAAAACGTTAATTACACCAACCCGGAGAATTTGCTATTTTGTCAAATTAAATTCTGATGCCCAGCATTGCCACCCCTAGTTATATTGTCACTGGCGCAATTGAGTGATACCTGAGGTTAGGCCTATTTCAACAGCGCCGGGCAATGTTTCACAATTTGAAAAAGTTTTCAGCAAACAGTCAACTTTTCAAAAGGTTGGTACATTTTCGGGAAAAACTCAAGCTTAATTGAGCCAAGATGTATAGTATTCTATTACAAAACGCTCTCATCCATGCTGAGTTGATATCAAGTTACAAATAAAAACATCAATCAAGGATCCAAGCCAAGATTGAACGAATTAACAGCTTGGCTTAATGGGAAGGTATCACACGACCAACACAAAATAAGTGGGTGACTGTGTAGGCCGTTCTCTTCACCATAGCTTCGCTGAAAACTGAGCAAGAAGGACTTTTCTGCTTGTATTGGATATTTATTGGCATGCTACATCATATTACACATACTACTGCCCCGTCAGTTGTATATGGAGTGCAATTTTCTGGTGTTATAACCTCACATTTCATTACAAGTGTTAAGAATATAATTTTGAACGCGTCCTCATTGGTAATATCATGATGGCTGCAGCGGTGCAGTATGTTTTTCAAAACATTTGTTGGGCCTCTCATGCTTGCTGTCTAAAAGCTTTTTTGTTCGGATAGGCAAGCTGACCATTTGTCCGCTGACGTTTGGGCTTGCCTATAGACTGCGGATATTTATTCCAATCACCAAGTGGAAACCTGATCGATTTTTGTTTTGAAACGAGTATCGATGAAATATACTAGATATCTATTGAATATCTGGGTGAGTTCACGAGCACCATGCTACTGTACATATCTACTAAGAAATATTTTGTAAACCATCCTAAGACGGATGAACGTAAACCAACTAACTGGACAGTTTCCTATGAGTTAACACTACTACAGCTGACTCTAAAAGTCAGAGTTTCACTTTAAACTGATGTCAACTTCTCATTGCAGTTGTTGTCAGGAAACAACGTGCGATTGATGAGATCGTTTTCAAGAGATTTGAGCACTTGTCGGACATCCTGCACAAACTTCTCTTCTAATTCCTGTAGAAAAGCTTTCGTTTCCATTGTTCCACGATGTTCGGGTGGAGTGTTGGGAGTGGACAACAGCATGTCTAACCTTTTAGTATCTGTAATTAAAGAGGACATTTCTTAATAAATAGCAGTCGAGATTACCAGCTAGAGCGGTTTTCAGTTGAGTCTCGTACATTGTAAAACGAAAAGCAAAGTAATCACTCTAGCTAATGACAAAGGACACAAACAATCCAATGAACCAGTGAAAACTCCCAGTAATTACATTAAGCAGACGAAAACGCGGGAAAATGTGTGACTTATACCTACATCTACATCTATATCTACATTCTGTTTTTTGTAATCTGCTAAAGGATTGATCGATCACTGCAGATATGTGGGTCGGTCCGAGAGCTAATTAGGATCAGATTTGGTTTTATCGCTAAGTGGATGAAAAGTGGGGCGGGTTCTTAAGGCAATCGTGTAGCGTAGCAATGCAAAATCGCTCTAAACAGGGTCGTAATGTATAAGCCCCCAAAAAATAAAGAGAAGACAATAAAAGCTATCGCAACAGAAAGCTCTGGAAATATAGATATATTTTTTTACCTGGTAGCTTCATTCTGCACATGCGCGACCTACGACAGATTTCCCAGGTTGCACCAGACAGAAGAAAGAATGCGAGAATCCCCAGAGAGGTAAAAAGGGTCGGGTAAAACAGCAAACCCTCAGGATCAACTTCAAATGAGTTTTCAGTTCCCTCCAGTGACTCGCCCATGCCACTCTAAGGAAAGAAAAATGGCATGCATACATTCATTCATTCATTCATTCATTCATTCATTCATTCATTTCCTAAGTTAAAAAAAGTCGTGAATTATTCGCTTTAAGATATTTTTGCAACAATCATATCATAGGCTTTCCAATTTAGTCTTTTCATTGTTATTACAACGATGATGGTCTCATCTAAAAATTTGCCTGTAAGTGGGACGATTTAGAACATTATGTTAAGAATTTCAGCTGTCTCTTTGAGCCTAACAATTCCAGAAAGACTTGGAAAAAGAGTCACCTCCAGTGACTTCACTGCCCAAAAACTGGTTACTACTTTTTATTGGTCGATTTTTGAAATAGTTTTTCAAGCGATTTTCCCCTTAGCGAGTGAATGGATTGGCCGTGTCTTGTTTTACATTGTGCATGATTAAAGCAAAGTAGAATGCCGCCACTGAGTCGGCATTAGACGGCCAAGTTTTCAGACGTTACTTGACAGTGTTCAACTTGAGGAGATACTGTCCTTTCAGGTAGACCGCGAGCAGTCTTTCTCTAGCAGTCTCTCTCTTTTGCTCGAAATTCGGTGGTGAAGGACGCAAAACCATTGAGCGTGCACGCGTCGCATTTCATGCTCACACGTTCAAAACCGTTCACTTCTGTTGCGTTCCAGTTCGTTGGGTTCTTCCCTACGGATTTTCAAGCAAAAGAGAGACTGCTCGCAGTCTACCTTTCAGGCATCATAGGAAGTAAGAGAGAAACAAATGAATGCTTTAATACTTCAGGAGCAATTGACACCAACCTTGTTGTAATGATTCGCCATGTACAGTTCAGCTTGTTCATACAGTTCGGACTCCTCGGAAAACCGAAAGTTCTTCAAACAGCTGACCATTGAAGAGTTTTCAACCTGCGCTCCATACTCCAGGTACTCTTGGGAAATGACTTCTTGTACTTTGAACTCGTCCACTGGAAAAAGGTGCTGGTAATGAGTTATGGTGAAACTGTCCATCAAAGCGCCTGAAGTTACCACAAAAAGCACTTTTAATACTATTTTGAATTGGTTAAGGTCATTTTGATGACAAAACGTTTTGACGGAAATACATTAGAAATACATAAACATATTGTACCTACGGCTTCCCCATCTGTTATTTTCTCTTTGATTTCTTCAATGGTGTGGACTCCTGTATCAAAACATAGACTATGGCAGTTACTCTAGAGCGGTTTTCATTTGAGTGTCGAAAATTAATTGGTTTTACATCACCTACGCTAAAGGATCGGCTTAAGAAATTTCCCTCCAATCAGAAGTGGAATTAAAACCAATCGTGACTCCCTCGCACATGTTTTCCCGCTCATCGTGTCAGCCACATTTAAATTCTTTGAGGTTTGATTGGTTCACCGTATTGTCTGTGTCCTTTGTGACTGACTAGAGTGATTACTTTGGTTTTAGTTTTTCGACACTCAATTAAAAACCAATCATAACAAAACATCATCGCAGTTATGAGGACCATCAGATGGATACTGAATTAATAATGATTTTAATCACTGTATATGGGTTATTGACCAATTGTGAGGTCAAGATGGCTGGATATTGGCCAAGTTCTTTTTTGCGTGTTTATGGACCTCGACTCCGTCTCGGTCCATAAACACGCAAAAAAAAGGAAGGAGGCCAATATCCAGCCATCGTGACCGAACAAGCTTGGTCAATAGAGGATTTATTACATGGCTTTCGAGGAAATTTTTCTTGCGGGACACGGCGGGTAATCCCTAGAGGGCAAGACAACTCCATCTTGCACGCTCGGCTAGCCAATCACAGAGCAGAATTTTGTTCATCTTGCGCAGCCGTTCACGGAGCTAGCCATATAATAAAAGTAATTATGATCTATACTTACTAATGACTTCTGCTTGTCGTTGAAAGCCTGTTGTGGCTTCAATGGAGCCAAAAAGAGCAGCCACCTATATCGGAGAGCATTTGAGTTTTGATTATTCTTCTTTGCAATATCTATATTAGTTAGCTCTTATTAACCGAGCAGGAGGTCTCTGTGAGAGAATCGTGAAAGAGGTCGTGAGTACAGACCGAACGCAGTGAGGTCTGTGCACACGACCGAGATCAAGATTCTCACATACGGACCGACTAAGCTCTGTTAATAAGATGTTTACCGTATGGCAAACAAGAACAATTTAATTTGTTTAATGTAATTGGTTTGTACTAACGGACATTTTGCTTGCGAACGGCGATGGGCTCAAATTAATTCTGCCAAAGTTTTCTCGTCCTCTTTACTTTTTTTCTCATCAGTCTTCCATAAATAAATATTGGTAGAAGAAAAAAAGTCAGTATTTTTGCATTTTAGTTTGCAAAAGAGTACTAGTCTAGATGCCGGTCTAGATGGGAAAACCGCTTTCAATATCGATTTCAGCCAATCAAATTCGTGAATTTGATAGTTCCCAGTCCTTGGGAGACAAGCCGTATAATAAAATACAATACAAGTCTATTGTGTCATACGCTAAGCTATTCAGGTGTGACATTAGATAATGAAATATTAAATCTATACTTCTTTCCCTCCCTAAAAAGCGCCTTTTAATTGGCATCAATGTCTAAGTTTTGCCGCATTTACGTACGAATTGGCTTAAAGAACAAATCAAACTACATTCGAAGTAATTACAAATGCTTAAGGAGATGTTAAAACTTAGCAAAAGGCGAGTTCGGACGTTTTTGCTTGAGATATTAAAGGAACGATTAACCCAAAAGATCTTAAAAAAATACCCAAGTTGTGATCTTCTTGATCACAACAGACAAGAAGACAAAATACTTTTCTTGTTTAATGCTGACTCCTATTTCTGAAGCAAACAATTACGTCGACGTTTCCTTTAAGGAGCGATGAATATAAAAGTTACTTCCAAAAAGGACCATTTGACCATAACATCTATAAAATAGTAGCGAAAACGTTGTTGTCGCCATGCATACGGTGCCTGCGCCCGCAGTACGAGCGGCAATCAAAACCGAGCTGTCCTTCCCAATCGACACGACAATAACCTTTTTTATTTGCAACTAATAAAAATAAATGCTTTAAATGACTCTTTTCCAGTAAGAAAGGTTGGCCGATTTCAATGCCTTTCCTTTTAACAGACAGTACAGTATTTTTCTCTTACTGAATCCTGATTGGTCAATTCAAATTTCAGGCGCACCAGCCATATACAAGGTTGTCGTTGCTTTAGGAAAAAAAAAAAAATTTTTTTGATGCAACAGCGCTAATGATCCAGTTAAATTACCCGATATGTCAGTAATCTACCGCCCTACCAATCCATTTGCACTCTATTCCGATCATTTTAGCTTAAGTTTGTAAACCCACGTAAAACGCTCTCATCGCCTCATGCTCAAAATTTCTAGAGACAGTTAAATTCAATTGCCAGGCACCTTCTATACTCAGGGTTGGCGCCAGGGATGGATCTAGAATTTTTCAAACAGCTGGCCGGTACCTTGAGTTCAGAATCAATGAGGGGTGCCTCCAAAACGTTGTTGCAATTTGAGAATTGGATTCTTATTTAAAACTGCTACCGGCAGAAATAATAGAAATTACAATGAGGTACCTGTCCCTAGTGCTTGCCTTCATTTCTGCCATAATATTAACGATCTTCATCAATTTTTATAATTGTTTGCTTTTCCAAAATTGGCCCAATATTACGTATTGTTTACGTACGGAAATTATTCCCCTGTCCCATGGATAAACTAATGCGCAAGTGCATTACAGACAAATAATGCCCGCGCTAGCCTGGGCGCCTATTACAGCAAATGTTCATGTTCGTGGGCAATAAGTTTGATATGGGTGGCTAGCCACCCAATTCACTTCTTCAAAATCCGCCCCTGGACACGCCCATGCTTTCAGTTACTAATGAGGCAAATATTAAATAAAATAAAACAAGAATGGCAACCAATAGGGAGTTAAATCCTGACTCCAATTCCTTTTTGCTACTTTAACTGTCGTAAAATATTGATAGCGACACATCGAAGGAATAATACATAGAGAGGCAATGGGCTTCTTTGGAATCATAAAACAGATTAAAGTGATTTGCTTTAGCACTCATGTAAGAGCCGTCACGTGATACCTTTGCTCGAGGCAGGGTAATCTCGGTGTCAAGGCTGATCGTAGTTAGAGCTGTTGTCAGCATTGCAGTGAAGATGGAACACATACAAATACCAGTTAGGATCCAGAAAATGGCAAACAATCTCCCGGAAATTGACTTTGGGCAGCGATCACCGTAACTGAAACAAAATAATTGGTGATTTTAATTATAAAAGGAGGGTAAATAAATGAACAGTGAGCTTGCTTTGTCCTTTGGTTGTTTATATAAAGCCTGTGGCAAAGATTTTCTTTAAGAACATTCGTTTGATTTACATGAAGAGCAGCGAGTGCGCGAGTGAAATTCGTTTTGATTCAGAGTTAAAACGCAACTTCTTCAAAAAAAAACCTCATCTTGGTTACCTTTTGTTTCTTTTAATTACACTTATTTTTCATACATACATACATACATACATACATACATAAATACATACATACATACATACATACATACGTTTATTGGATAAGTAGGTTTAAAATGAGCAACTGTACAGCTGATGTGGACCTACTACTACTAAGTCTAAATAAGAGAAACAGAAATTTACAATACAATTGTCATAAAGCTAAAATAATATATACAATAACGATAAAAAGAGTAATCAAATAATTTAAAAATACCTAAATTCAGGGTTCTATTATAATTTACAGAGCATTCCTTTTGGAAACTGATGTCTCTGACATAGGTCTTGATCGATTTTATCTTCCTTTTAAAAGAAAGAGGGTTTTCAAGCTGTTTGACAGTGTCAGGTAAAGAGTTCTAGGCAATTGCAGCTCTGTGTTTAAATGAACGACGGCCCTGTTCGGTTCTTGGCCTAGAGACAACAACATTTAACGATTTCCTAAGACTATAAGAGGAAGCGTTCTTGACGACTAGACTATTAACATCATCTAAATCTATATCATAAAAAGCTCTGTGCGTTATATTTAGAATACGAGAACAATAAAAATATTTTAATGGCATCCAATTTGCATTTGTAAGGACTGTTTCGTCTTCCATTTCTCTTGGTAGTTTGTAGATAAGTCTTGCTGCTCTGAGGTGGATTAGTTCTAGATCTTTCATCAAATAATCTGAGCAAGAGCCCCACACAGCCATACCAAATAAGACGCTTGGGATTACTGTTTTGTAATAAATTGTTTCTAGTGTGGCTGTTGGTAAAAAGCTTATGCGTCTTAACATTTTAACTTTAGAGCTGTATGAGGTGGAGACAGATTTTACATGATAGGCCCAGGAGAGTCTTACATCAGTGGCTATACCAAGACATACAGAGAAAGATCTGTATTCAATGTTTTTGTCTCCCCAGACTAAATCCTTCAGAGGGCCGATAAAGGGTTTTTATCCAAGAGTAATGCATCACATTTCCCTTCATGAATAATCAATCTATTCTTTTGGCACCAGGTTTGTAGCTGATCTAATATCGCCTGGAGGGCTATAGCAACCTCATCAGTAGTCGGTTAATGTACGGTTACGGTCGCTGAACATTACAACTTTCCATTTCTTCACCCTCTTTCGTCATTGATTTGGGTTCGTAGGCTGAGGTACAGGCATTTTATAAGATGTTTATAGTAAGTTCAAGTTAGCGGCGAAACACATAAAATAATCTAACAAATATAAGTGCTCACTGTGCACCATATTGATCGATTGATTGCTTGAATATTGATTGACTGATTGATTGATTATTGGCTGTTGATTGAATGATTGATTGATTGATTGATTGATTGATTGGCTGGTTGGTTAGTTGATTGAGTGGTTGGTTGATTGATTGATTGATTGACGATTGATTGGTTGGTTAATTGATTGATTGACTGATTGGTTGATTGATTGATTGATTGATTGATTGGTTGATTGATTGATTGATTGGTTGATTGATTGATTGATTGGTTGATTGATTGGTTGATTGATGATTGATTGGTTGGTTAATTGATTGATTGATTGATTGGTTGATTGATTGATTGATTGATTGATTGGTTGATTAATTGATTGGTTGATTGATTGGTTGATTGATTGATTGATTGATTGGTTGGTTGGTTGATTGATTGATTGATTGATTGACGATTGATTGGTTGGTTAATTGATTAATTGATTGATTGATTGATTGATTGATTGATTGGTTGGTTGGTTCATTGACTGGTTGGTTGCTTGCTTGCTTACTTGCTTGGCAGGTTGGTTAGTTAGTTTAGGTAGTTACATGTAGTTGGCCAGTTGTTTGGCTAGATTGCTTGGTTGGTTGATTGAGCATGACTGGATGAGTTTACGTCGCTTACCCAACTGTTGTCATGGATATAAAAGCCCACCAGAAACCTTCCCACGATCCTTGTATGAAGCTCACTGGAAATTCCTCTTTGTTCTTCCTGGTGTCCTGCGTGATGATCGCAACAACCAGTTAAGTACATAAAACCGTGACTCTAACTTAAAATAAAGGAAGAACTATTTCAGCGCTTTCTGCGTTAATCAAAATAATAGGAAAATAGCAAGTAAAATATTTCCCCACTTATATTAAAGACTGTTGATCAATGACACATTTATTGACCTCACCCTAATAATAATGACACCTTGCAGTTTGCGTGGAGGTTTAAACAATTCTAAGATTAAATATCTCACGATTTTAAAAACCTTAATTTGTACGTATCTTGTAAATGTTAATTCCTTTTTGTTAACTTATCTGATAAAACGTTTCCCAAAGTTACTAAGTAATTAAAAAAAAGCTAGTGTCATTTCGTACAGGTGACAACATCAATACTGAGTTAATTTTAGAATGACCACAATAATTATTCACCAATATCCAAGCGACGATTCCCGCCAATACAGACAGCAGTAACGTTATTACCAACACTGGCCAGGAGCTAAAAACGGAAGACAGAGTTTTGATGGGTAGGTTTTTCTTGTCTGCTCTCTTGACAACGAACGCCACTCCGGTGTAGGGAAGAATGGGAACCACTTTGCTCTGAGATTGTAATCCAGTTTCCTTGTAGTTGAGGATCACGGGAAGAATGATATCTGAATCGCTTTCAACATATTTCACCTCAAAGGCGTCGGCACAGCAGGCTTCCAACATAATGTGTAAAAATTCTAGAATAGAAAATCATCTAGGCTCAGTGTACTGGTTTTGATCACTGTGATGCTTAGTACATGCTTATAACCACACATTTTTTTGGTTATAAATTAAGTAAGCAAAGAATTGACGACACTGTACCGATTAATGAAGGCCTGTTATGGGTCAGAAGAAACGAAAACCAATAGGTCTTACGCATGATTACGTCACGGGCTCAAAATTTACCACCAAGACACGTTCGCAAAAAAACCTCAGGTGTCTTTGTGTTGTTTTCACGAGAGTATTCTTTTCATCTTTGCTGCCTAGGGAATTTATTCGCGACAAAATTTGCAATTTTCATTTTAAAGCAAGGCTTGGTGGTGAAATTTGTTTGTCTAATGACATCATGCGTAAGGGCTATTCGAACTAAAGGAAAGTTCGAAACAACCGGGTTCGAAGTAGCCAATGATAAATAATTGTAAATAGAAGTTCAATTTCAAGGGACATAAACCTGAGTTCGAAATAATAGGGAACCTTATTCGGACTAACGGGCTCTAAAGGTATAATGTATTTTTAAGCCAGACATCAAGAAAAGTAAAAATATTACTTTTTAAGAGCAACGCAACATGCACTCGATCTCGCTAATAACGTGCTAAAAAGTTTAGTTCACTCTTTTTCAAGTCTTTTCCTCATCTGTAACATTATAAAACTAAGATTGATTTCTAATTTTTGAGTTAACACTTACGTGGAAACAAGCCGTCGTAGGAAATTTCTGTTCCGTTGCTGTATTTAATGACATGAGGTTCTCTACTTAGTAGCAAATTCCACTCCACCTTGATTACATTTGGACACTTGACAAAGTTGGCTTCATAATCTTCATAATATGCCAAGTCAGTGAAGTTTTTGGCTGAAACTAAATTCGACTGAAGCATCACCCAAAGGGAAATTACTGTAACTAGCCAATGGATCATAATGGATTTGCCTGAAATATAAAAGACCGTGTAATCTTAATCTTCTAGCAGGCTATCCAAGAAGAGTGCCAGGAAGACTCGAGCTTTGTGACTTTCCGATCTGTTTTACTCGGAATTTTGAGGATTAAGACGCCGTCCGCACCAAGCCTGCGGAATTTGAAAACGGCGGTTTCACTCTGAAACGCAGATAATTTACAGTTTGCTAATCGAAATATGGCGTGTTTTTATCGAGTTGTACTCGGAGACATTCGTGACCGTGAAAATTTGAGAGAATTCGAAAACGCTCGTTCTCGAGTTCCTAAACCTTTGCAGAAAAATTGAAAATTTTTGCCACTTTTAAGGAAGGATAATTTTCAACTTTTACCGTTACATAAATAAACTTGCCAGATTGCACTCCAGAATGAAAATCGTGCTCTTTCCTGCAATACGAAACTAACTCATATGTAAATTATGCACAATGCGATTAGAATTGAATATTCGTGCAGTAAATACAAATGCAATTATTTGACTATCTATCCCTTCTTCAACTAATTTTTAATTCGTTGCAATTGTGCTTAAAGGCGCACACGAAGCTTCGTAACTTCAATTGTAATATACGTATCAGATTTTGTTTTGGCAATTTACTTTGGTTAAGATGTTAGAGGTGAAGTCTCAGATAGAGCACAACAAAGAAACACAGTGATAAGCACTTTTAAAGTACTCCAGGCAATTAAAAAGCCACATTAATAGAAGCATGTCAATGACATTGTGTTTATGCAGAGCTGATTGGAATACCGGAATCTTTTAATAATTAAACGGAGACACGCCTGGACGTACGAGTAAGACTTCCAGCGCGGTTTTCTAAAAACGTGTTCCGCGTTAGCAGAAAAAAAAAATGTTTGCGAAGATACACCACTAAAACTTATTCCAGCACTTCCACTGTGGCAGCAAATTACTGTTTTTCTAACTATTTAGTTCTACTTTCAATTCAGAAAATGATACATATTTTTGTATCAAAATAAAGCAATAGAAAAACCACACACAGTTGTCTGGTGCCTTAATGGCTACTCTGTTAAAAGGACCGGGTCAGCGACATATCGGCCTTTAAGCTGTCATTTAATTACGTTACATTGTTCGCATGCAGGAGGGGCACGGAAACGCAGGGTTCATCAAAATAACGAAAAAAAAGGAATATTAATTTTCATCTTCCATTTCATAATCTAGGCTTTAATATGCCTGCGTTGTAATACGGAGAAGCAAATACTGGAGGCACCCTACCATGCGTACATCAAAAAGTCTTCAGCATTTGTATAAGTTCCCTTATTCCCAAAGTCTCCAGTTTATTAGTCTCGCACACGTGAAATCTCAGTACAATTAATTTCTACATAGAGAGAACAGAGTCGTGTAAATTTGAAATAACATTTCAATTTCACATTAACAACAAGCTCCAAATTCTAATGAGAGATCCAGACATTTCTATTCATATTAGCATCACAAAGAAACACCTGTGTTGTGAATTATTTCGCTGGACGGGATTTTGATATTTTTTTTTTCTCCCGTTTTCGTGTATCGTAGATGCGCTTTGTACTGTTTGGTCAAGATATCAATATTGGATGAAGTACCGTGAAAACAATTTAGCCTAGAGCACGATAACATCACTAGATTACCAGTTTACCTAAAATTTGAAAAAGAAAGATACACATAAATAGATTTATTTGCCTCCGATGTTATAGAAACTCATTTATTTCCATACATTTATGATTCCTTGCTGTGTTACCTGTCAGTCTTGGTCTGACTGAAATGGCCTTCCTCCAAATGCTTTCTTTGAAATTTCTTCGATAAAAAACGCGGCACTTAAAAATAAATTAAAAACCGAGGGTCGTTTTATAAATTGAAGAGCACCGATCTTTACTACTTACCTTGGGTATAGTCTTCCTCAATGAATGCTGCGAGCAAATACACAGTCTTTCATAGTCATTTCACACGCGGGCTATAGACAAAATGTAAAACAGTCTGCCACCCTCTGTCGAGATTGCAAACAAGAACTCAGTGGTACATTAGGCACCTTTATCAGTTTTAAGCATAAATTATAATGAATTCAGGTGACTTTTTGGGTAAATATGGGAAAAGTAGCAGGCAACAGAACTGAGACAAACCTCACATCGGTATAGGTGAATCGAGTAAAAAGCGAGAGAAGTTGATACAAGGAAATGGCACATTCGCTGAATTCATTCAAAATGCATGTATCACTGGAAAATTGAATTATTTCAAAACTTACCGAAATTTGAAATTCCCTTTTTAATTAAATATCAAATTTCATTTAGTTTCACAGTGTAGGAGAAAAAAATTTCATATAAGGGCTAACATTTTTAAATAAGTCTGTACTTTCACATGTTCAATTCCTACACCGACGAAAAGGACTCTACAATTTACTCCGTGCAGTGTTGCGGAAACTAACAAGGTTGAACCTTTCGCATCCAGAACAGATCAAGTCTAAAGAAACGAACTCGTTCAAAGATGTTTGCTTGGTTGGCCGATGTAAACTAAATAGATAGTGCAGCAGCAGCAGCAACTATCAAATGCCTGTAACGAAAACAAATAAGCTGCACTGATAAAAAAGAAAAGTCTTTCTTTGTCTATCCATAAATTACCTTAAGCTTATGAGAAGGACATAACGACGCGAATTACGTTTTTTTGCTTTTTTTACGTCCACTAATTCCAAATGTATTGGAGCCTAAGCATAATTTTGGTGCTTACAGGGCCTTTGCCTGCAGACATGGAGGTTATGGATAATATATTCCACAATTTGTTTCGAATACAATTAAAACAAGAGCTTTCAATGAATATTGTATACAAGAGTGCACGTTCAGGCACCCTCAGAGCTCTAAGTGATATGATAATTTATATCACAGGCGGACTGGGCAAAATCAAAATAGTCAGCCTGAATGAAGTTTCCATCTAACTACTCAGTGGCACCGAAAGCACCCTTTCAAGCTCTTAGCAAGAAATATTTATTGTTATTGACTTAATGTCGCCTAAGGCACCAAAGCTTGGGTCGTGCTGAATCGGGTCGCAGCTTGGCTTCACGTCAAGTGTCTTTATCAGAACCCTTTTTATGATGTTTCCTAGCGGTACTGCGTGCTCTTACTTTAGAGTGTGCACCCTTACTGGGTCCCAGCCTACTATAAGTAAATCATGTTTGCATTTAGACAACTATTTACTTCCAGTCCTTAAAAAAAATAAGGCTACTGTCAAGTGGAGGAAAAACCGAGTAAATATTTATATATACCACCCATGGGGCAAAAAGTAGTTTGTCAAATCAATATAAAAATGGAAATTGCTTTATTCAGAAATATTTTTGCCATCCATTTATTGAGGCCAAAATTATTTATGTAAGTTACCAAATACAAGGACTGCACAACACTAAGATACTTAAATTTACTGCTATAGTAATGGGAAATAAATACAACATAACTTTATTTCTGAAACGATGTAGAGTGAGGGAAGGAAGAACCAGATATTCAGTTAGCCTAGTAAGTCTGCAATCCATGTTTGCACCCAATGAAAACCAGAAGCGGACTCCCTTTTTAATTATGGTTTTGTTGAAGCATATTCTGATGAACAGTCTCCTGCATGCAAGTCTCTTCTTGAAACAAATCTCAGCTTGACGAAGAAACAGCCATAACAAATTCTTGAATATGTTTATATTACCCTTTCCGGGGTTTCCTAGTATACAACGACGGTAAACAAATATGCAATTTAGTCAAACCAAAATTAAAACCTCCCATGATATTCAATAGTGGACCTTTTAATTCAAAACATGTCAGGCCGAAAAATGTTATCCATCACGAGTTTAACAAAGAAAAGAACGTCGTTTATATCAAACGTACGTAGTGCCGCACTGATGTCAAAAGAGGCTTTTATTTGTGGTCATTTTTTTGTTTGTTTCGTTATAGTTCGCCGTGGAAAGCCATTCGAGCAATGTGTTACCTGTTCTCCTAAGCTGACATTCTTTCTTCATAGAAACATCTGCCTCCTCCCCTTAAAAAAAAAGAAAAAACAAAAAAAAAAAAAAAGGAAATAGCGACGAGAAGGGACGCCATTTGTTAGAGGCCAGTGGCGTTTATCGTGTTCCGGAATTATTTTGCATAAATTATTGGTAATTTTAGCTGATCGAAATCTACACATGCAGGCTACGAAATGGTAAACTATGGATGCCACCTCTTAGGTTTGTCTATATTCAGGACCGGTTGGCTTTTACTGGCTTGTCTGCAGTTAGCTTGCTTGCAGTTAGCTTTTATGCTGCTTTGCTTGCGGTTAGCTTCTATGCTGATTTGCTTCCGGTTAGCTTTCATTTGTCAGTTGGGGTACATGTATTACTATACAGTGTCTGGATTTAGGAAAGGTAAAGTCTGCATACGAACCAAGTGGAACATCAGACCGGAGCTTATCCCGGTTTCCGTAGCATGAAGCGACTAGGAGTATTTCTACTTCCCCTTGGATGGGATACTAGTCCACCGCAGGGAATGTTAGCTCCAGTATTAAATTCGCCGGTACTCATTTATACACCTGGATGAGAGAGGCACTGCTAGAGTAAAGTGGCTTGCCCAAGAACACAACACAATGTCCCCGACCAGGGCTCGAACCTGGATCGCTCGATCCGGAGACGAGTGCACTGACCATGTGGCCATCGGGCCTCCAACTCACCAAAAAGGTGTCAAAAATGGTGCAAAAATTTTTCGTCTGGTTGACGGTGACAGCGAACCACTGTAACTCAAGCTGTTCTCTAATCTTGAAAGACTTTCCAGATTTCTTTGGGATCACAGTTGGCGTTGTTGCTAGCACCTGAGCAGTCGACTGCGCAACGGGAGATGACGTTGGATCCAGATCAAAATCGGCACGTTGGAAAAACCATGTCACGGTGGTTTAACCAATCTTATAGACTTAAGCCACCATTGTAGAGGATGTCTTCCGCAAGAAGTCCACAGCAGAGAGAATTTCAACACGAGGAGTCGCCACTTATGAACTCTTGAAAGAACTAGACAACAACAGAATCTGAGAACTGCATATGCGAAGCTAAGGAGAAGTTGAGACGCCTGGAGTAAAAGGAGGGAGCTTAATTCTGGACTAATTTTGGAAAGAGAATATAGCATGTCCAAAGCCTAACACTAGCAGAACCAACCTCTCGAAGGGTATGAGCAGCTAGTGACAAGGAAACCACGAAAGGAAACCAGCCAGTGTCAATGCCCGTGTCATTAAACAAAACGTGCTAATCAGATCGAACCAAACTAGGGTCGAAATTATCCGACGAAAAAAAAAAGATCCCTAGCCTGGTTGCATGCAATCTTGTGCCACATTTGTTCCAATGATTTGGCGTACGTGCAGATGCAGAAAAC